GATAGTGGATCGCTCCTGGAGCTCACACCTTATGGTCCTCGTGATGGTATTCACCTCCGCATGGATATAAGGAGGTGTGTTCCCTCGAAATTGAACTCGATCCCCTAAAGCCTGTGATAGGCCAGGATTGAGGGTTCGGCAGCCTAAGGGGGCACCGACAAGGACAATTCGAGAACCTATTACTTTAGAACTGAACCCAGCATATAATGAACATAGAGCATGAATTTAGGTCGAGTCTAACCCGAACCTTAAGAGTCCAGTGAGGAAAGTACACAAGGAAAAGCTTTTTGAGTCATTTATTTTCACTTTTCGAATAAATACATGTGAACTAGAAATCATGCGGTTAGGTTTATTTGTCAAGCAAGCATGTGAATTAGATATCATGCGGTTAGGGTTTTAATGTTAAAACAAAGCATGGGGGTATATATTAGGTTGGGTAGGATCTACTAAAGTATGATTGGGTAGCCAGCATGTGAGGATAGGTTTTATTTAATGATTATGATACTTATTATTTTGTTGTTGATATTATGTGCACTAACCCATTGTTGTTCTATGTCTATTTTATTTTGATTTTATTGCATTCGCATCTTCATGTCATCACAAGGTGTTAATTCGCAAGTGATTGACTAATAAGAAGGCTGGACATATTGAGACAAGAAATTCATAACCATGTAGTCAAAATCAGGAGATTCAAAGATGTTCAAATGATCCATGAAGAAGAACATCCGATGAATGAAGAAATCTGAAGCTGATTGAAGACTTCCTTTAAAGGAGTGAAGGCCAAGATATTCCCTCAGAAGATAGATACATTTATACCAAGGACAAGAAGACCCTTCACAAAGACATGAAGATCACTTCGTATTGAAAGCAAAATAGAGACCTCAAGATTCAATTTAAGGACATATGGCGTCATCAAAGGTGATAAAGTACACTAAGAACTTTGGGTGCAATATTAGATTCCATGAAGAGTACGGCTCAAGGAAATGAAGAAATGAAGAATCACATTTATACTTTGACTACATGGTGTGCTGAATTCTTGTTGTCTAAATGAAGGTTGTTCTATGGTGGTCACTTTTAGAATTAACACCTTGTGCATTTGCATTTACATTCTTATTAGCATTAATTTATTTATTTTGTTATTGTTGCTTTTTGTCATTTTGTTATCTCATTTGTACTAACTTGTTTCTATATTGTTTTTTCTCTTTGTCCGCATTGGTTGATCATGACATATTCAAAAGGTGTTGATTTGTGAGTGGTCATCATACTAAAATATTTTCATGACAGACAAGGGGTTTCGTGATCAAACAGACTATAACACAGTCAAGAAATGGCATCCTGAGAAAGCTTCGAAAATAGTGGAGAGTTGTGCACATAAAGATCATATGTTTGATGAAGAGCATAATGAGATAAGAGAGATAAAAGAGCAAATGTCCAAGATGATGGATATAATAGATGTTTTTTCCAAAGGAAGAAAGACTTCTACAAAAGAAAGGAAAGAACTCAATGAAAACAATCTCGAGGTGTCAGATACGCAAGGGACTACTTTAGAACCTGTTGATTCTAGTCAGTATCAGAAATCACGCACAATCATTGTTCATATCAACAAGTTGTTTGGAAATGCCAAGGAAATAGTGGCAAATATAGAAGTTGAAAAGGATGAAAAGAAGACATGCAGTCAAAACTCATTGGTGTTTGATAGTTTACTTCCAACATCAGGGGAAATAAAATTGGAAACTCCAATTCAACCCAAGTTGAGAGATGGCTCTCGTTGTGATTCCATCCCAATATCATATAAGGAATTGTATGATGAACTGTTAGAAGCCCGAGAAGTGGCCCCGCATTATGTGAAACCTTTGCAGCCTCCATATCCAAGTTGGTATAACGTCAACGTTCGTTGTGAATATCATGCTGGGATTCAAAGATATTCTATTGAGAATTGTTCTACCTTCAAACGTTGAGTCCAACTTCTACTAGATCATGGAGTAATGGAGTTTGAATTGAAAGGACAACCTAGTTTGGTAACAGATTATTCTGTTGGGTTCGAACCAGAAGTGACCAAAGGTAAGGGTATTAGTGAGGACATCCAAGAAGAAGACTGTTTGCCAAAGTACGGAGCTCAGATTCTTCATTTAAAAAGTGAAAATGATAAATTGAGTAGAGAGATGGAAGCCATACGAGATGATTTTCAAAGGATCAATCAAGCTTTTAAATTTGCTGGTATAGGAAATGTCCCAGATGAGTGGATAATAGGAGTCGCTAAACTAAAGAATGACGCTGAACAATGGAGAATGAATTGTAAGGTGCAAGAAGGTAGAGCCGAGAAGTTTTCTCATGATTTACAAATTGCAGAAAAAAGACGCAATATAGTTGTTGATAATTTGGGAAGATATCAGGCCGAAAATCATATGTTGAATAGGTCCATTGCCAATATGGAAATGTCATATCAACGCCACAAGTGAGAGAATGACGCTGAGCTAGAAGCCGTTAGAGCCAAGAACAAGAAGTTGATGAAGATTGTGGATGATTGTAGTGATCTTATACAAGAGCTTCATAACCACAATGACTTTCTTACAAGGAAGATTCAACAGCAGTGTTTACAGCTCCGAGAATCGGCACTAAAGATAGAGAAAAGAGACAACTTCGTGAAAAAACTATGACCCAAGCAAGTAATGTGGCTCAGAAATGGGTTGATTTAGCTGGCTTTGCAAGAAAATTGAAGCAGATAGAAAAATTTGGATTGAAAGCTGTTCGTTATATGTAAAGTTTGTTTGATGTATCGAGACCTTTGTGTTCAATGAAAGTTGTTTTAAGATGGTCACTCTGGAATGACACCTTTTGTATTTGCATTTGGCATTTGCATTTTCATTACATGTATTTATTTAAGCATTTTACATGCATTAATTATAAAAGCACATAAATAATTTATGGAAGGTTATGTGACAGTAATAACAAGATCATCCATTCATACTACTTCCTCATCGTCATGAATAAGCAAATGGAAACAATGGAGCAATCTCATAAGGGATCACAAGATCAGTTGCAAGAGTAGTTAGTCAGGTCACAACAAGATACGAGGAATCAAGCATCGGGTTCTTTGCAAGGCGTATCGAATCAAATGATCTAGGTACTGGTACCATAGGCTGCTGGTAAAGAGAAAATGCAGGATAAATGAAATCAATGTTATCAGACTGATACATCAAGAGTGATAGTTTGCCCTAGAGCATCTAACTCTGAGCCTCGCCAATTTTAAACAATTTGAAGACAAATTCAGGTGGTTGAATGAAGCCATTAAAGATATGAAGGTTGTTAATGGCCCTCACAAGGAGTTAGAAGCTAGAGAACTCAGTTTAGTCTCTGATTTGGTCATCCCACATGAATTAAGGGTGCTTAATTTTAAAAAATATGATGGCACTAGTTTAGCCCCAAAACATCATGACCTTCAAAGGATAAGAATGAAAGCTACTGAGAGCTTTAAAGAATAAGCCCTAAGATGGAGAGGAGTGGCAGCACAAGTTCAACCTCCTTTGTTAGAAGAACAAATATCATATATGTTTCACGATTCTCTTCCAGCTCCTTTCTTTAAGTTAATGCTAGAAAAGTCGACGAATAACGTCAAGGATATTATGATGGCTGGAGAGTTAATTGAAGATGCAATCAGCAAAGGAAACTTGAAAGTCACTTCCAAACGTCCCACTGATCAAAAGGAACAAGCTGATGAGGTGAATAAATGTCACATCCAGAGCTCCCACAACCGCAAACGAAAAGGGAAAACAGGTTACTCAAGACGTCCAAAGAAAGTCCCAAGATCGAAAAATGCTTTGAAAGTGTTCCAAACTCCTATCTCAGATCTGTATCCCCATTTGATTGAAGGTCAATACCTTACACCGAGGCCAGTGAAAGTGAAATCAGACCCTTCTGCTCACAGCTATGATCAAGATAGTGTCTGTGATTTCCACTTGGGGGCATTGGGATATTCTATGGGAAACTGTAGGTCGTTGTTAAAGGAGATAGAGATGTTTGTGGCAAATGGGATGTTAATAGAGGAATTGGTGGAACAGTGGATGACGAGCTTGAGTGGGGCATCAAAGAGCAATATGTAACATCCGTTTGAGTTAAGTGCCACGACATTAGATGGTTAATGGGGCATCCTAGGTAGGAAGAGATCATTTCATTCTATCATGAAGCTTTATTCCATTTGCAACATCATGTTTGAACTTGTTTTTCATCATTTCTTAGTTTTTCTGTAATGATATTTAAATGAATTTATACTACTTTAAAGATGGTGAGCATTGAATTAAATTTGCTATTTGAAATTCTTTGAATATCAACTGAATTAAAAAACTCTCACTACAAGAAAATATACCTTTAATGACGCGCATTACGCGTCATCTATGGGTGACGATGACACACAAATGCCTGTCGCTGAAGCCACCGTCATAAATCTATGACGCGCATTTATGATGTGCATTTATGACGCTCATTGCGCGTCATTGAAGCCCCCGTCATAAATGAAGATGACACACATTTGTGTGTCATAAATTTATGACACGCATGTATGACATACATTTCGTGATTGTATTTCGTAAATTATATATATATATATTGTAGATTGACAAATAATCAAACTAAATCACATTTAATGTCTCATAATATTAAATATATATATCATATTATATATTATATATTATAAGCAATCCATTTGTATACAATTTATTCACACTACAAACAGTTTACAATAAACGATTAGTCAAAGAAAACAAAGAAAATATGATATTGAGAAAGAACATATAACCATTATTATAAGTTAATAAACAAACACTGAAAGTTACAAATCTCCTTAAATGAATTCAACAATAGTCCTAGTTCACTTAAAATTAGTTACTGCTCCCTGTTCGGATTAGCCATGAGCTGTACTATCTATGTTGTACAAAGAAGAATTGAAACCAAAGCCTATGACTCTCCACCAAATGCATCTAATGTCTAGGTAAGTAGCACTGACTTTACCTTGCAGCAGATGCATCACCATCACTCAACTGTCCCTGCTGGTTGCCCTCCTCTTCACCCCTCATAGTTCGTAGCACAAATTGTTTGGCTTTGTGCCGTTGATTGTTGAAGAGGACCCTAGCGGAAGTAACAAATCCATCACCGGTGCCATCAGCTGAACGCTTAGGAAAGGCTCTTTTTTGATCAGCAGTTGTAGTTGGTTGTTGACTGTGTCCCTTGTCTCTGAATTTCTTGACCTACCAAAATGTCAAATAATTAAAATGAATATAAGTTTGGCACGGGTATATTCAATTTTTTTTTATAAGTTTCTTCATATAATCCCACACACATCTAATATGTGATGGTAGTGGATGCTTTAAGAAAATGAAGAAACCGAACAACTATTATCATAGTGTATTGTAAAATTAAGCATTAGAAATTTCCATGTCCTAATCCAAAAAATAGGAGGGAGACAAGACTGTTACGTTCTAAGTAAGAGAAGATTCATAGGAAACATGTGAATCATTGTCAACGTCATAGGAAACGGGAAATTGAAGTACTTGGGAGACAACACCCACTGCAATAAGAAATAAATAGCGTAAAAATGGAGAGAATGAATTACATAAACGAAAAGTTCATTCCTAATCAAATTGAAACCGAAAAAAAACATCATTGCTTTAGTTGTAACCTAAACCTAACTATCACAAGTAATGAATTAATAAAGCTTGATCAGTTATGGACTTTTGTTGAATGATATTGTAAAGGGAGAATCATCTATTGTAGGAATGTTATCCTGAAGCTTTTTGTTCATTTTGCTCTTTATCAAGAAATCTTTATCAAGAGAGGGAGAGAGAAGGTTAATCTTTACTTGATTTCCCCCTTCTTGAAGAGTGTCAACCTCTTGAGAAGTGAATTTAGCTATAGATACTGATTTAACTCTGTGTGTGAACTCCTGACTGGAAACAATTAAAGTTATTCTTCTATTAATGCAGGGATATAAATATAGGAGTATCAATAATATACCATAAAAAATGGACCACAAGCATTATTGATTTCCCCAACATCACTGCCGCAAATGAGAAGTCAATTCAAAGTCTATGTATATCAGCAAGCACATCTATAACTAAAACTGAACCATTATTTAATAATTATGGAGTAACAACACATTTCCTTTCACTTTCAGTTCTCTTTCACAGTCAAATTGTTGTAACTTTTGTGTTTGTCATCAACAAGCAAGACGCCTGGTACTTCTTGTTTACAGGGCTATATACAGTAAGCACTAAATTTATAAACAAGTTGATGCGAAACTTGCAGCATCGAGTTCCCCTTTGAACATTAAGATTTATCTATTTTAACAATGTAATGTCAGTACACCAAGAACAATTCACAGAAGATATGCAGTGATACACATGCTTTGTGATGCAGGGGAAGAAAATTTTCATTATTCAAATATAAGAAAAATATATTGGTGAAAGTTAGATAGACGATGAGATACCAGGACGTAATTCTTGAAATATTTGTGGATTGATGGATCATAGAAGAAGGAATCATTAGAAGAGCTCAAACCAATGCCATTTTGCCACGCCCAGTTGAAATACTGCGTCTTTCCACCATATGGCTGCAAATTATTAACTAAGCTCAGAAGCAGCCTGACTCCATGCTGCCTTGCTTCTGCAATGACATAATCCAAGGCCTAGAAAGATCGATATTCATCAACATAAATAACATTAACCGAGAAACTGTACTCTACTATCATACTAACCGGCATTCGAGAACACAACTGAGTTGATTATTCAACGATTTTTGACAGATTTCTAATCAATCGGCCTAGAAATAGAAGCAAATTGAAATCCGAATAGCTTATCCTACTATTCTCTTTCATTTCCAACTTTCTAGATTACAGTTTTAGAGAGCCCTATCATATTTATATTCAAGACAATCCTAGTTTAGATTAGCAACTGTGCAATAATCTCTTGTAAATTTGAAACCAAAATGGTGCCTGCATTGAACACACATATCATATAGGATTGAGATTATACAACTGATAATTTGCGATGCAAATATCAAAATTTACAAAAAAGAAAACCCCAAATCTCAAACAAATACCTTGAAAACTCGCTCATCGAATTGCCCTGGGGAAATCTGGAGAGCATTATAGCCACCGTCATTAAAGGCCCAGGTTCTACAAACAGTGAGACCCATCCTTGCACCAGCTTGAAGCATTGCACTGACCTTAGGTGTAGTATTTTCCTCCACAGAATCGGACATTAACCAGTAAGAATTCCAGCCATTAACGTACAATGGTTTCCCATCTAAAAAGAAATGAGTCTCATTCTTTTCCACAAAACTTAATCCCCGTTCCCTAGGGAAACTACTAAGCTTCAAATCACCAAAAGACATATAAATAAAAGCCATACACGAAGTAAATCCAAGAATTGGGTATAACATCCCATTGCCAGCCATCGTCTTCCTATATAGTAAGCAATCTGAAAATCAATCAACATGCAAAAATCCCAGAAAAAAAAATAAGAAAAAAAAGAAAGATTATTTGGGTACCCTTTTGGCTCTATTTCAACAATGTTCCAAAATTTGAGGATACCCAAAGTGGAGATTACAGACTTACAGTACCTTAAACTCCAATGCGAACGCAGATCTTTCTTCATAAGTTACACACACAAAAAAAAATAGTATAAAAAAAACTCCTTTCAAGATATAACAAACAGGGGCAAATAGATTTGCAAGTTCACGGTTTCTATTCAGGATTTTGAGGGGTTTTAATACCAGAAAACGAGACCACATGAAGGAAGTGAAAAGGAAGGGGCAAAGATTAAGAGAGCTTCAGAGAAAAATGTAAGATTGGGAATGGTGGAATGTTGGTATCAGCAATCTCATATATAAGCACTGCACCTAATTTTTCCCCAGTTTCCTTGGATTTTACAATAGCTACTCCTGAAATAAACAAGTCTCTTTTATTCAGCAACACCCATGGATTAGATGGCCAATGTGATTACCTCCCCCTGTAAAAAAACAAAAATGAATATTTACCGGGGAAAAACACTACGAAAATGATAATAATAAAGAAAAACAATTACAACCCTCATTTGCAAGGGGAACTTAGATTCTCTTGGCGTTTGCAACTGCTAAAGTCTGGAGCTTTTTCTCTGGTTGTTTGTTTTAAAATAGGTTAAAATAAGAGTGGGATTCCATTTGTTGTGTGATACATGGTTGGAAGAAGCAGCGTGAACTGATAATTATGGAGGGGGAAGAAGCGGGAAATGATTTGCATAAAAAATCCCGGAGAGGAATGATCAAGTAGAAAAAGACTGAGTTCGCCACTTTGAAGTCAAATGAAGATTGAATCGACATTTATGCATTCATGAAAACATTATTTGCATAAAATAAAATGCATTACATTGATACATTTAATTGCATTTGTGTTTCATGCATAAACACATGATTTTGACAGATCTTCCAATGAAAATAGAAGATGCGGGATGTTAAAATCCCGACAATTGAAAGGTAGAAGTTAAACATCAAATACAGGGAATCTTGTTTAGTGAGGCAGAACCTAAAGAACGCAGGGGTCAATCCACAGAGGAAGCATTGTTGTGAAGCGGGCCATATAGACCGACCATTAAGTCGTTTTATGAAGTGAAATGAGAAGGATTTCTCATTAAAATATGAAATTTGAGATTTTGAAATATAAGAATGGTTTCTTATCCAGTAAACAATTTAAGTCCTTCGAGACCATCAGTAAGTCTTTCGATCATGATGATTAAAAATCCTTCTGGTCATCTATAAGCCTTTAAAGCAAGATGATAAGTCCTTCGGGCCATCCATAAGACCTTCGGGTAGGATGTTTTCACATGAGTTTGAAAAATAAGAAAATGATGTTTAAGAAAATGAAACCTTTGAAAACTAAAAAGGATTTTTTTTCCAAAATTTTGCACTTAGTAAGTCCTTCGGGCCATCAATAAGACTTTCAAGCATGATGCTTAAATCCTTAGGGCCATCAGTAAGTCTTTCGAGCATTATGATTAAATCCTTAGGGTAATTTGTAAGCCTTCATGAAAGAGTAGTGAAGCAAACCCATCAGTAAATCTTTCGAGCATGATGATGAAGTCCTTTGGGCCATCAGTAAGTCTTTCGAGCATGATGATTAAATGCTTTGGGTAATTTGTAAGCATTCACCGAAGAGAAGTGAAGCAGATTCATCAGTAAGTCTTTCGAGCATGATAATGAAATCCTTCGGGTAATTTGTAAGCCTTCCCCGAAGAGTAGTGAAGCAAATTCATCAATAAGTCTTTCGAGCATGATAATGAAATCCTTCGAGTCATTTGTAAGTCTTTCGAGCAAGATGATAAGTCATCCGAGCTATTTTAAGCCTTCTCGAAAGAGTGTTGGAGCAAACCATCAGATTATCAGATGTGGGAGGAAAGCGAAGGTTCTCGAGTACAAAGAAGCGAATCAATTGATAAAAAGGAAATGCACACAATGAGTCATTAACAAATTCAAAGCCCTAGGAAGAGAGAGATTCAAATGAAAGTCGAGTCCAAGAATATTCTCATATCTAGTTGTTGCGATACAAGCTCCCGCAAGAGAAATGGATTCTCAAAGATTCACTTAAATTCTAATTTTTTTTAGTATAATGTTTTTCAAATCTTCAAGCATACACTAATGAGTGGTAACGTTTGATTTTTAGGTTTGACCTTCGAGGTTGAGCCTTCATGGAAGAATAGTGAAGCGAACCTGTAGGCAGGAGATTGTTTGAGTTCTACTCCCTGAAGCAAGAGAGAGCAAACTTGTAGGCAGAAGATTGTTTGAGTTCTACTCCCTGAACCAAGAGGGAGCAAACCCGTAGGAAGAAGATTGTTCGAGTTCTACTCCCTGAAGCAAGAGGGAGCGAACCCACTGGTCGAAGATTGTTCAAAGAAGAGAGAGCAGATCCCTCATAAAGTTTCAAAGCACGAAGATGGAACTGGACAAAAACACACTGTCTTTTTTATCTTTGCCCTATTCTTGTTAACACAAGAATGGGCAAAGAGGGGCAGCTGTAGACACTCGTTTTTGTCCGGGCTTTACAACGAGCCCGAATCGAGGCCAAATCAGTCCAAACCAGATGGAGTCCCGTCTCAAGCCCAATGGACAACAGTTGCATGCAAAGAAAAAAGAGAAGTTAACGTTGGTTTTTAGCAGTTTGTAAAGGTATAATGGGGTGAGGGTCGGTTATTTATTGAGAAAACTACTGGAAACTGAAGGGAGGGGAAACACGAAAACATCTCCATCATTGGTTTTTGACAGAGGGCATTCAACAATAACAGAAGGGGGAACCACTAAAAAAACCACTATCAACCAGAGAAAAGGAACCATAAATTATCAAGCATCGCAAACAAAAAAGAGAGAGAGCTGAGAGGCATCAACAATTAACTGAGAGCAAAAGCAGAAAAAACCTCCATTTTTTTGTTTACCTTTACAGAAAATAAAAAAACATAACGAACATTGTACTGAATTTTCCTCCTATTTTGGAGATCAAAGGAAACAGAAGAGTTCACGTGTTTCAATGATCCAAAGCAATTCAAGGCAAATTCTTTCAAGGTTTATTTTCTTTACCATTATGTACAGTAGCATTTTCTTCGCTAATTTTAATTTTTTTCTGAATAAATCGGTAAATAAATTATATTTTACATGTCTAACAAGTTTCTTATGAATCATGTCTTTAGGTTTTCATTTGATATAAATAATAAGGAAATAAGATAGGGATTTACCTGGGCTGTTTAAATGTAAGTGGGGGCGTATTGACTCCATTTTTTCTTTTGGTGCGTGTTCTAATGTCGAAAGAAGAGTGAAAATAGGCTTTTTAAAATTTCTGAAACAAAACAAAAATAAAATAAGAAGAAAGGAGTCGATTTACCTAGTTCAGGAATCAGTCGTCGGAGTTGAAGCCATCGGGGTAGAGAGACTCGAGTGATAAAGAGCAGGAGTGGTCGTTTCGCTTCGGTTGAAGTCCAATAGCGGTCGGGGTTTAGTGTGGTCGCCGTTAGGGGGGCCGAAAGGTGGCTATGGTGCCTGAGGTTTCGAGCATGGGTGAGTGGAGAGAATGGAAAGGGATTGAGACAGTGAAGAACGGAGAGAATTCTAGTCTAATAACATATAGGGTTTTAATTTGAGTTTAAGGGTTATAAGTGAAGTATAAAACGACAGTGCTTAGGCTTAGGGAAATGCGTGCATGGCCAAGACGGGGCTAATGATGTGTGTCCTCTAATTTTCAAAGTTTTTCATTTTGGTCTTTAGATAGTTGTCTTTTGGGTTTCTGTTTATATCTTCTAAGTTTACGCATTTTCTTTTTAGTCTTAGGGTAAGCTATTTTCGATTCCATGTTATTTTTACATTTGAACTCTAATTTTGTGGATTCTTGTTTTAGTCCTGAATCTAGTTATCTTGGTTTTGTATGAACTTTCGAATTTAACCTGTAATTTTATTTCTTGTGCATTTTAGTCCCTTAAGCATATCTATGTTCTTGCTTTGAGATTTGATTTTCTATTGCTGATTTTTTTCCGTTTTGGCCCTTGGATGTTCATAGTTTTTTTAGTTTGTAATGCCTAAATAAAATATGTTATTTAATTTAATCCTACGTGTAAGCGTGTTTAACAATATGTATAGAATTAGATTATATTATTTATTTAACATAGCGTCATTTTTTATATGAAATGCTTGGTAGCCTCACGTGCATAACTCGAATATCATTACATAATTGGGTTAGGTTTCAGTTAAGTGTGTCGAACTAGCTAGTTAATTGTAGCATAATGCTTGTTGAGACTACATCAATTGATTATGATGCTTTAATGTGATAGGGGAATTAAGATTAACCAATTCCACTTCCCAGAAAATAACCTATCCTTTTCTTTATTTTCCCCTTAGTAAATCAATTGAACCTTTCCCTTTTCTTTGTTCACTAAATTGTAAACCTGAGGTTATTTAGTTATTATTTCCTCTTTTTCATCGTTTTCAAGATGAGGTAAAATTATTATGTAAAAACATACAGACGAAAAAAGGGAGTGTTAAAAAAGTAGAAAAATCTCCACTGTTCGGTCATTGCAGTTTGGTTCGAATAGTGTAGCAAAAAATACTGGTTTGATTATAACAGAAAAAAGAAATAGCTGAACAAGAAAAAACAATGTAGAAATTTTAAAACTATTCGAACAACAAAAAAAATGGAAAATTCAAACAAAGTGCGAAAAGAAAGAAAGAAAAGAAGAAAAAAATTAGATCTTCAATTGTTTCATCCTTCATTTCCTCTCTTTTACTTGTGTTTCCTTTAGAATAGAATTATGAAATAATCTATACTTCGTCTTGAATTTTTAATCCCATTTTTGCCTTTATACTATCCGAACCTTAGCCCTATTACAACACATTTAAAGACCTCTTGATTATTGCTAGTAGAGATTAGATTTAGCTACAAGCCT